GCCACGTCCTCGCACTTCTTCAGCGCAGGCATGCGGGCCCTGCCGTCGTCCACCAGGCACTTGGAGTCGGGCAGGAAGGCGGTGGAGCCCAGGGGGCCCAGCTGCAGCAGGCCCTCCGTGCTGTAGCGCACGAGCTGGGGGGGTGGGGGGGAAAGCAGGGTGAACCTGGGCCTGGGAGGGGGGACCCTGGAGGGAGCAGGGTGGGCATCACCTCCCGGGGCCAGCCCGCCCAGGGACAGCCCTGCTCCCAGCCTGTCCTGTTCCTTCCATGGCTGGCTGTGTGCCGATAAAACTTTATTTGTAAAAGCAGGCGAGGGGCTGTGGGACGGCCTCAGCCTCCTTCCCCGGAACTTTGCTAGGAACCCCACATGCACCCCCAGGCACCTGACCTCCCCGCCCGCCTCCCTCCTGCGGTCGGGGCAGCCCCGCCCCTACCTGGGACGACATCCCATGGCAGGGGTAGAGGATCGCTCGGTCATCGTCCTCGGCTCCCTGGTCCAAGCAGTAGCCGCTGGCCTTGCTGTTTCTCACCTACAACCAGAAACCCAAGGAGAAACCCATGGCCAAGGGGAGGGGCGAGGGGCTCCACCCACCCTGGGCCCTGATGGGGGCAGCGGGCAGGCAGGAGGCTGACACACCCAGGGGCGCTGAGGCCCACCAGCGGAGGGGTCTGCTCTGGGCAGGTGAGGCGGGTGGGGAGGAAACTGAGGGGTGGGGAGGAGAAGTGGGGGTGTCCAGCCTGGCTCGCTGGGGACAGACTGGCAGGAAGGATGACCCTGCTTGTCACTGGGGGAGACAGACAGACAGACAGACGTGCCTCCCGGCGAAGCATGGGCACCCGGACACTGGCGCACAGGGATGTCTATGAACATTCGCAGGGGCATGGGGGGGGGGGCGGTGCTGACGGGCACTGGAGTGTCAGGACGTGGGAAGGTCGGTCGGGCGTGGGGCGCGGCCCAGGTGGGAAGCCTGGCTGACCAGGGCCATCGGGTGGAGGCGGTACCTCTCCGTACGTGAGGGTGTTGTTGTAGGTCCTCATCTCGGGGTACACGTTCTCCAGGTACCACTTGAAGCTCCGGCATTTCAGCCTCTGGCGCAGGGCCAGCCGCTCGGATACGTCCCCGAAGTCCACCCCTGGGTTCTGCGAGGCGGGAAGGGGTGAGTGAGGGTCCTCACGGCGACCCAGGCCTGACCCAGGCCCCCGCTGCGAGGGGGGAGCTCCAGGAACTGGGGGCCCTCCCAGGGCAGCTGTTCCCACTGGGAGCGCCGTGTCCCAGCCGCCGGCTTACGGTCATGGGGATGTTCCAGGCCATGTACACGTGGGACTTGAAGCCGTCCATCCACACCTCGGCCGCCCGCAGGGCGTTGCGCTTGGCGTAGTAGTCGATGTCGTTGTTGTAGGGCTTCCTGGTGCGCTCGATGTGCGCCACGCGGGAGCAGGGCAGCACCTCCATGCTGCCTCCGCACTGCCACACCTGCCGGACAGCCCGCTGGAGGCCCACTCTCCCAGCCCCGCCCAGCCCTTCTCAAGCCCCGCCCACAGCTCTTCACAGCCCCAGCTCCCAAAGCC